TTTCTTTTGCTTTTCTTTCTCTTTTCATCTTTGAGACCTTTTGTGATTTTTTTTTTTTTTTTTTCAAAAATTACCCTCCAGTGTAGAGGGTGATCCTTGGTTGGGGTTCTAAAAAAAATGATAAGCTCAAGGGGGTAACAATAAATGATTTTTCAAATGGTAAAAGAAAGATGGCCATTTTTCATCTCAATTGTGAATACCTTTCTTGAACATCATCTATTGAACAGAGCTCATGAACTTGTATAAAATATTGCACACCTTCAAGATATATCTCTTTCATCTCTGGTGATGGCTTACCCTCTTTATTTTCGCTCAAATCATCTCCTCTGTGAATAAGTTCTCAAAATTAAATTCCAAAATTATTGTTATCATTGTCTAAATATTCATCATCCGAAATTTAAGAATGGGAATGTGAAGTTATGGAAGGTAAGAAGGCATGGAATAATGGTCAAGTGAAAGAGAAAAATGTAATGAAATGCATTGACTTGCCTTTATTAAAATGATAACAAGTGAAGTCATATTGCAAAAAAAATCTAACATTTTTGAAAAAAAAAAAATCCCAAAATGACAGAAGAAACCTTCAACCAGCCTTATCTCCATTGACATCTTGCCCCTCAATTCATTGTGAATCTCCGGATCCTTTCTGTTCTTGACTTTCGCTCAGTACACTAACATTAGGTGTTGTTGCTTTTCCTTGATCAAAACTTACCATTCCATCATTGATCAACCGTTGCACCTTATACTTTAAAGCAGTGCAATTTTCAGTAGAATGGCCAGTAATTCCATAATGATAGTCACAACGGGCTGTAGGATCATACCACTTTGGATAGGGTGGTTTAAGTGGTTCCACATGGCTGGGGGCAATCAAGTGGCTATTATAGAGTTCTTGATATAACTCTGTATAAGTCATAAGGATTGGATCAAATACAGGTTTTTCTCGAGTAGTCCGTTGTTCTCGTGAGCCACTTGCTGGATGAGTAGGACGAATTTGGGTTCTTACAGGAGCTTGAATGTTAAGGCGATAAGTGGATGAATAAGATGGTTGGGGAGCTAGCTGGTATGGGTAGGATGATGCATTATTCACAGCGGGATAGTATGGAGAGTAGCCTTGGGATGGATAGGGTTGATAACCCCTGAATTGTTGTCTATCAAAGCTCACAGCTTGAGCTTCAGTTTCTTTCTTTTCTGATGCCTTCTTGGTTTCTCCTCCTCTCAACTTGCCATTTTTTATGGCACTTTCAATAATTTCTCCAGAGATCACCATGTCAGCAAAATTCTTTGTTGCATTCCCTATCATCTTTTCATAATAAGGAGGTTTCAAAGTGCTAACAAACAGCACTGTGATCTCTTTTTCTGTCAGAGGAAGTTGTACCTGTGAAGCTATATCTCTCCATCTTTGGGCGTACTCTTTAAAAGACTCGTTTGACTTTTTCTCCAGATTCTGCAAAAACAAACGATCAGGAGCCAAATCGATAATGTGTCGATATTGACTGATGAAGTCATGTGCCATATCACTCCAAGAGCGAATGTGAGTTCTATCCAACTGAACATACCATCTGGCCGCAGAGCCAGTAAGACTATCCTGGAAGACATGCATCAAGAGTTTTTCATCATGTGCATGAGCCGTCATCTTCCTGCAATACATGGTGATGTGGGTTTTAGGGCACTTTGTACCGTCATATTTTTCAAATTTCGGTACTTTGAATTTATAGGGGATAACCACATCAGGAACTAAGCAGAGCCCAGCAGCATCAACTGACCCATAACAGCTAAATCCTTCCACAGCCCTTAGCCTCTGCTCTAACATGCTAATCTTGAAACTTTCCTCAACCTCTACTCTCATCTTTTCCTTCTCCTTCTCTTCTAGATCAGGAATTGGTTCTGCTGCCTTTTCAGTGAAGACCGGATTTATATAGCTGTTATACTGCCCTGGGTTGAAAGCTGATGGCATTCCAGGATAGGCGAAATGTTGTGACGGGACCTCTTGGGCAGACTGGGCTTGAGGTGGGCCAAAACCTGGAGGGTACAAAAGGTCAGCCACTTCTTGTAAATGGGGAACTTGTTGGCTTGTATTTCCTTCAACCCCTTTCCCCTTATTCATGTTATTGAGGGCCTCCAGAATTTTGCTAACTTCATTTTCAATCTTCTCCTGAGCTTTTTCTAGCTTTTCAAATCTATGAGAACTTTCTTCCTCCATTTGCCTTGCTCTGGACCTTGTGTTGTATGGATGAGCAGGGTTTTCGCTAGATGGAGCTATCCTGGGACCTTGAGTACCATACTTATGATTAGAAATGTTATGCTGTGCCTTATGTATGATGCTTTGATATACAAATGAAATGTACATTTTTCTAAATGAAATCTAGTATGAAATGAATGCAAATGATTGTGTTGAAACATGATCATGAAAAGAATACAGATGCATACAATCAGACAAACAACATGGTTAGTTCCGTGGATGAAACGAAAGTGATGCTGATGCATAATGTTACATATAATAAAAATAACACACAAAGTTAAACAATCAAAATGATTAGACAAACACCCTTTTTGTGTCCTAATTTCAAGGTATATCTATCATTGGGTAGAAAGGACTCTATCCTAGGGTTAGGCACTCTTAAGGTTCACTACATGTGGTTTTAAAGTCAGAGTCTAAAGGTCATCAAATTGTTTCTTACATCCTTGTCCATCACAGACTAGTAAGGCACCCTAATCCTCACCCATTACAGGCTACAAGCGGAAAAAGTTCAATTTGAGTGGGAGTATTTCGCTAGCCACTACGGAGGCATTAGACCTCACGAAAGCAATAGGTACTTTACTCCCTCCTAAAGGGACGGAGCTCGGGTATAGAGCTCATGTTATGCACATGCACATGAATGACATAATTAACAGACATGAATGAATAATAATACATATATACAAAAAGGTTCAATTTTATTAGGCTTTTGGATAACACAAATTATTTGCTGGCCTGACTCTCAAGGTCCCCAGCGGAGTCGCCAAGCTGTCATAACGTCTAGATCCGGGGATCTATCGCCAGACATTGACTTTAGGGAGTCGCCACCAATCTTTTTTTTATCCAGGTGTGATTGACCACCTATGAAATCTGTCCTTTCAGTGAACACCTAAGCTTAAGGGTCCCTAAAAGAATAGGTTCAGGTCTACTAACCAGAACAGGGTTCGAGATTCGGTTACGTGTGAGGAAGGTTATAGCACCCTCACAACGCCCATCAAAAGATGGTACCAGCTTGAATTTGTGTTATCCAAAAGCCTTAAAATTTTACCAAGTAGTTAGTTGTTGAAAATTATTCTCAATTGACTCTAATACTTTTAGCAGAAAATTGAGAAAATTCCCTCACCTCAAGAGTATGCAAGAAAAACTACTGTTTCACTTGCAGAGGCTCCGTCGTCGGATTATTTAAAGAAAAATCAAGATCAACCAATTAACTAATTATCGAAAATTATTCTCAATTGACTCTAATACTTTTAGCAAAAAATTGAGAAAATTCCCTCACCTCAGGAGTATGCAAAAAAAATTACTGTTTCACTTGCAGAGGCTCCGTCGTCGGATTAATTAAAGAAAAAAAAATCAAAATCAGCCAAGTAATTAATTATCGAAAATTATTCTCAATTGACTCTAATACTTTTAGCAGAAAATTGAGAAAATTCCCTCACCTCAGGAGTATGCAAGAAAAACTACTGTTTTTACTTGTAGAGGCTCCGTCGTCGGATTAATTAAAGAATAAAGAAAAAAAAATCAAGATCAAAATCAAAGTCAAATAAAAAAAAATTCAAAAAATTCAAAAAAAAAAAAAAAAAAACCTGGAGCGGCTCGGATCGCGGCTCGGCTTGGTGCGGCTCGGCTCTGCTCGGAGGGGCTGAAACGCGCGGGTCAGAAAGCGGGTCGACGCTTCGGGTCGGGTCGGGTTCGACAAAACGCGCGGATCCTCTTATTAACTTAAAGCCAAAACGACGTCGTTTTGGGAGGGTATAAAAGGCACCTTCCTCCGTTTTTCAGCAAACCGTTCCTCCCCTCTCTCTCTCTTCTTCCCTTCTTCTCTGCCTTCTCTCTAGAATTTGAAGAACGTCGGTGCCGGATTCTGAAAAATTCGCCGAAATCTGAGAATTTCGCCGGAAATTGGCCGGAAGTTGGCCGGATGGTCGCCGGTTTCTGGGATTCTCCGCCGGAAACTGGGTCTGTCGCCGGAAACTTCAAAGTTCGCCGGAATTGTCGCCGAAAAATTCAAAAGTCGCCGGAATTTTCGCCGGAATCTGGAAATTTCCCAGAAATTTCCAGAAAATTTTTTCGCCAAATTTTTCTAAAAAATTTTTCTCACTGCCAGAACACTCCTAAACTTTTCCTTAGCTCTCTAAACACCCCTATTCTCTCAATCAGTAGCTTTTGCTTCTGTTTTCTCTCTTTTCTGAACTGTTCCAGGAGGTGCTTTATATAGGGATTGATCAGGAGTTTCTGATCAATCCCAATTCCTCCTTGGACGGGAATTCAATCTTTGAATCCCACTGGACTCTTCTGATTGAATTCCCACTTCCAATGGGATTCTTCAGCCTTCAATCTCAGCCCTCCAAAATCAAAATAAAAAAAACTAGATAATTAGAAAAGAAAATCAAAAATTAAAAATTAAAAATAATATCAGATAATTCGGGAAAAAAAAGATAGAATTAACAGATGATTAAAAAAAAAATAATGACAAATAAAACAAGATAAACCCAAAAATATATTACACAAAAAAAAAATAATAATAATATATAACTGTATAAATAAAATACATATAAATCTAACCTGAATAAAAATAAATAAATAAATAAAGATATACATAATAATAATAATAATAGAATACATAAAATACAAAAGAAGAAAAAAAATATACAGGATTGAAATGGGCCTTACCCATTTGAGTCAGGCCCAATTGATCTGGGCCCGGACCCAATTGGGTGTCTACACACTGTTTAAGGCAAACTCATTTTTAAGAATACAGATCAGCAAAAAGATGTCACCCAAGAAAAAGATAACGAATGTCAAATTATTCATTCTGTAGTTTCCATGTAGTATAGAACATGGTCCTTTGTTACAAACAATCACGATGATGAATCATCCATGCCTAGATATAGCACTTATAACAAAATTATGCAAATTACCAAAAGCATTAAAGAATATGCATCAGCTAAAACTACAGCTTCATGGAAAACATATTCCTGAATGAGGTTCTGAGACAAAAATAATTTGCTAAATTACAAGGAATTTTCCCAAGAATATATATTTACAATGTATAAAACTCATTATCAATTTTTAAATAGAATAACTAATATGTCCAACACTAAAAAATATATCGTCAAGTGTATGTAAGGTAATGCACAATTATTTTAATTTGTACTACAGCACACTAGAACATATTACACTACAAACCTACAAAGAATACTGATAGTCATCTCAATGAAGCCTCAGCCAAACTATTCGGAGTTCCCACTTCCCAATAAGAGTCTCATTCTGCACTGAGTCCTAATAGAATCAGGCAGTTACTGAACCCCATACAAACATGTATCAGAAACTAAGACCAGCTAAAACATGTTCCTAAGTTTTCTTGGCAAGCATGGTCCTAGTTCATGGAAAGCAACTAGGGTGAAAAAAACATAAAAATGACGCAAAGAAAGAATACTCCACAAATTCCAAATATAGGAGAGGGAAAAAATATAAAAAAGGAGAGGAAAGGAAAGGAAATAAAACATAGTAAAGCAAACTGCCTACCATCTTGAAGAGCAGCCATGACTTCAGGATCACTAAATGCCGCCATCAATTCAGGATCCTGATCAAAATATCAACATCGGAAACCACATAAAAAAAAAGTTTCCAAATAACAATTCATTTTTTCCAAGTATTTAGTATGCATCATAAAAGTGGAAAACATACATTTTCTAGACATTTCAGCCTAAAAGAATTTGAAAGAAAAGAATTGGGATAGCATAAACAAGCAAAATACAACTGATTGGTTTAATAATAAAAATAAAAAGAAAGCCTGTTCCATCATACTTACATTCAATATTTTGCTAAAATCAACATTTCCAGGCATCCCACCTGGCATGCTACCAGGGAAACCACCGGGCATTCCTCCAGGCATACCTCCAGGCATTCCACTGGGAAACCCACCAGGCATGCCTCCAGGTTTCCTACTGGAGGATGATTGCTCCTGCTTCTTTGCCTTCTCATATGTGGCCTTGAGCACAATACACAATGGAATCAAAGTCGAAGAAAACAATAGTAAAGCAACATTATCAAAAGATGGATAAGCGCTAAATTACCTGAGCTTGAGCACAACGACGCAGTCTCTCACGCTCAATCTTTCTATCTTCTCTCTCTTTGCGCAATCTATCATACTTCCTACGGTGTTCCTCAATGCGGTGTGCATTGGGTTCAACCTGTTTAAGGAAAGAAGTCAATGTTAGCCACCAAAGCAGGAGTTGCACCCAACAATAATAGTCCTGTCTCTCATTTTACTGATGCTGATACAGCCCAAACCCACAAACAATGGTGGCAGCGAATAAGACTTCTTTTCCGTGTCAGAAGATACATACTAACCACTTGTTATTACTTTGGGAAAGACTCAATGCACCTAATAAATCACATTTTGCTCAGATCACTCAATTAGAAATATAAGAACAAGGAAGCAATAAAGCTTGGATGAGTTAGGTCAACTGGTGCAAGCTTGTTTGGACATTCACTTTGCCCAAAAAAAAAAAAAAAGGAGAAATCATCTGATAGACTTACAATGCTAAATATCTACTAACTAACCAAAATTGTTTGAAACTATTCTTAAAATCCCATCTCTGACTTGTCCTGGTCTCAAAATCTCATCTCTACCAAGAATTATAACACATAACTGAGCACTTCAAAGAAAAGAGTGAAAAAGAAAGGACAGACGAGATCAAACCTTCTTAAGCACATTGTTTATTTCCTCATCATAATCCAACTTCGATGCCAGGTGCAGATCCTTTGCAGCATCTTCCCATTGACCAAGCATTGCTCGTGCAATGCCACGAGACTTGTAACCCTTAGCAGAATCTGGGTTAATCTATAAGATAAAAATGAGGATAAATGTGAAACATTTTCCCTCTCAAATATGGCCTCATTGTTTCCAGGAAACCTTAAAACATGAGGAAACAAATATGAACACAACATTGCTGTGCATAAATCCCTTACATATGTTGCTTGAATGAACCAATAATGCAAAACACACAGTTCAAACGATTCACAAAATTACCATTTAGCATTTTATCCTACAAGCATGTGCAAAACCATATTCATTCCAAGGCAAACAACAATGTATACACAAACCTCCAAAGCCGCATTGGCATCTCGAATAGCAGCATTTGGCTTTTTCATCTTAATGTAAACACTAGCTGAAAGAAAAAAAAAATAGAAAGCAACCAAATCATTCCAACAGATATAAGAACCTATCTCAAAAATATTAAACGAAACATAACAAACACTAAATGAAACCCAGCATATAACTGGCCCAATAACAAACGCTAACCTCGTGTGCCATACATAATTGCTGATGTTGGATTCAGCAAAATTGCCTCTGTTAGATTCTCAATAGCTTCCTCTAACTTCCCTGCGTTACACTGATTCATCAAATACAAATTCAAACAAAAAAAAAAAAGGGACAAATAAATATTAGATACTGAATTATTTACCTTCGGAAATAGCATCTATGGCTTTGGCTTTAAACAATTGCGAAGCATCACGGTTCTCATCGGTAACCTCCACTGAAGGGTCACCCATCTACAAACACAAAATAAATAAATAAAACAGTTAAAAATAACTCAAAGAAAAAAAAACTAAAAACAGAAATTCATAATAAGATTAGATGCTACCTTTTGTGGAGGATCATTATCAGGCTCAACCGTATCGCCTTCAAGCTCGATATCAGATTCGATAATCTCATCTTCCCCTTCTTCTTCTTCTTCTTCTTCTACATTGATTTTCTCTCCTTCATCCGCCAATTCCTCGTCACTTTCCTCCACCACATAACTCTTCTGTAAATCAAAATCCTCGGTTTGGTTAAAAAACTAGCAAGGGAAAAAAAAATAAAACGTCAGAGTTAATTAGTGTAGAAACGGTTACCGATTTGGAGTCGGCGGCTCCATGGCTGTAAGCAGAGGAAGGGAGCTTTGCTCCGAGACTGATAAACAGTGGCGTTAGTTTTATAAAGCGAGTAAAAGTAAGGAGTGAGTTGAGAAATAGAGAGAGCAGAGTAAATAGTAGAGTGATTGAATATTTGAAATTACCTTTCGAGATAGTCGCGGAAGAAGGAGAGGGAAGGGTCGGAGAGAACAGAGGGATTGGATTTGCACTGACCGATGAACTTCTTCAGCTCGTTCAATTTCGCCGCGTCCATTTTCGGGTTTTGCAGAGAACGTTTGGGGTTTGGGAGCTTCGTTCTCTTTTTAGTGGGTTTTGAAGGTTTGGGGTTTTTTCATGGAAAGAGCGGAGAAAATAATGGTAGTACCTTCTAGTAGGATGGATCAGCCTCGAATTAGAAAAAAATAATTATTAGGTCATAAAATGCTGGTTGGTTTTTAGTTTTTGCTTTACACTTGCCGTTTTAGCTTAATAGTCGGTTTCTGATGCTTTTTCTTTTTTGAGGGTTTATTGTTAGGGTATAATTTAGAAGAAATTTTTTAGATGAATGATTATGAAATTTTTAATTAGAAATAATTTAATAAAAATTTTACTAAAAGATATAGATGGATAGAGTTTAATGAAAAAATTAATAATATGTGAAAAAAATTAAAAATATAATTTGTAATGTAAATTTAATCACATTTATTTAACAATAAAAAATTTAAAATTTTTATTAAAAATGATTATTTAAAAAGTATATCAAAATTTATTGAATTTTTTTAAAATTTTACACACTTAATTTATATAATAAAATTTTTTTATTTATCAATTTTAATTTTTTAAATTTATTTTAATGTAATTATTTTTTATAAAAACTCTCATGGACTTTATTTAAAAATTTTCATTTAACTTTTTTCCTTTATTCATTATACATAAATCATATTCAATTTTTTTTTTAGTATAAAAGAGATTATAATATATTAATAGAAAAGGAGTTGCATGAATTAGAATATATATTTTAAATTTATTAAATAATGTTAAAAATTATAATATAAATTAATTAAATTAAGTTTCAAATTTTAATTTATTTGAGATATTTTGATTATTTAATCTTAATTCATTGGTGCAAATTTTGATTTAAGAAAGTTAAACAAGTAACTTTATCATTTCTCGTTATCTTGCAACCTTATCTCGTAACAATCCATGGCTTTTCTTCTTAGGCAACAGTCAACACGTTAATTTGAGAAATAAAAACGCAAATAACACCATGTTTATTTTCTAAAAAAATTTGTATATAAGTTTCCAAACCACTTTATTATTTACATGCAAGAGTCCGATTAACCTGTAAAAATAAAAGTGTTTTGCAAAAAATAAGACTTTAAACTCCCATTACCATTTGAGTGACCCATGAACTCCGTCGAATAAATTTTCATCAAAGAAAAAAACGAAGCTGTTGGGGTGATAGAATGCCGAAAGATAATTAAGCCAATAACTATTAGTGTGCGAGACTGATGATTGGGGGATGGCAGCCCAACTTATCTTTGACGGATTCTGATCCTACCTCTTAAGAGTTTTTTTTTTTTTTTTTCAAAAATTAAATTTCGATTTAAGCAGGATAAGAATAAGAAAAAATTAAGATCGAATTTTAAATAAACTCAACCTAATTTGATATATATATAAAATATTTTTTAATTATTTATTTAATTTTATATTTATATTAAAAATAATATTTTATTAATTTCAAATCAAATAGAATCAAATAAATTATATAATTTATATAATATCAAATTAAATTAGAATTAAGATATTATAAGTATAAAATCGAATTGAATTCAAGATGAAAAAAGCTTGAATCGACTTGTTGCCATCCCTAGTGATGATATTAACTGAAGCCCATCATGCATTTAGCTATAATTGTTCCCCCAGCAGATGGTGTTGGGGAAGAAAAATATGCCCAGTGTCCAGAGCAGATGCTAAAGCCATGGTTGACTTGGGTTCCATCATGCAATTCAAAGCTCAACATGTTCAGTATCTCATTTTAGATTTTATTTGGTGTTAGTGGTGCCACAAACAAGTGACCACCTATACCATGGATTAGTAAAATGACAGATCAATGCCTCAGGGATCGATCCATCAAACTCTCTCAATCAACTTTTCAGGTTTAAACAAAGAGGAATATGGTATTGGCCATTCCAAACGGAAAGATTCAATCTGATGCTGTAACCAAAGGCACGAAATCACAACGAATATGTAGTTTCAACTTTGAGAACAAAATGATGGAACTCAAGGCTGCCATAAATATGACTGAATAAAAGATATGTGATAGCAACACTGACCAACCAAGTATAATATCAAGCCAAAAAAATAAAATACAAGCAAACAATTAAATCTCTAGATATTCAAACTCGGATGCCTAATCTGAATGATCTCTGTATTATTTACTCTTAGAAATCTATCTGCCCATCAAGGTTCCAAGGAATATGTCACCTTAATACAGCGCTATAGAGACCAAAAATAAGAACATGGCGGTAAGTCCAGTCAATGCAATCCTTTCAGCAGCTCCAGGTTGTCCTGTAAAATTTTAAGGCGCAAAATATTAAGGCTAAAACAGTAGGCAATTCGTGCTAGTTACAAACAGATTGTGTTGCTAAATCATGTCTCAGATAAGTAAATCTATTTTATTCAACCAAGGTTTATTCCTAACTTCCTAACATCAATTTGCACTAAAATTAGATAACGCCCTGGTAAAAATAAGTGAAGAACTAACTGAGTGGTGTCAAGTCCTAGAATTGAGCTGAAGGATATAGCATTTAAAAACGGAGTCTTTTAAAGGGACACGTTAACAACTTAGGCTAAAGCTTGGTCATGCATTCATATATTATAGCTATTAAAAAAAGGAATAAGAAAGAAAAAGAAAGAGACAAGGGGAATACTAAAAAAAAAACCCCTAAAAACATGGACCAAGATTTTCCCAGTGTATACTTTGGATTCCTTACATATGAATAAAATTTCTTAATCAAATTACGATAATAAAATATTCTTCAGTTTCTCCAAGGGAAATGAATAGTATATGTGCAGTTGGATTATTAAAGAAAATCCTTTACTTTTACTAGCTGGCATCACCACCAACTACTCTTTTCACATTTATAAAACTTCAATAATGGTTCCCAATCAGCCAAAAAAAATCAACAAAAAATCATTTTGATAGGTTATCATTTCACATGTAACCAAATAAATAAATAAATAAAAAGTTCACATGTTTTTTTCAGCGCCCTGATCAAATTGACAAAAAAACTCAGACTGAGATGGCTAGCGGTTATTCCAGAATAAACTCATCGAGAATCCCTGATTCTGAAAAGGAATTAACTGAAATCTTTTTCTTTATTTATTGAGAAAATTAAAGATATGTTTTGTTACCTGGTGGGGGTGGAGCAGAGGTAGGAGAAGTAGCTGTAGCAAGCAAAAAAATCAAGAGATGAATAATTAGTTTTTTAATCAAAATTATGAAGAATTCTAGCATATCCGACAATTATAAACCAATAGATTATACAAACATTAATAGTATGAATCAAGACTTGGCTAAGAATAAAAGGAAAGGGTATCAACCAATTTCATCTTTTATTCATCCAGACAAATTATAGAGATAATTATGGCTAGAAACATACCGTTACAGGCGCTGAGATTAGTAGTGATCCCGCACTCACGAGAGATCCTGAGAGCTGCAGCGACAGTAATGTTAAAAGAAGCAAGCAAACTAGGGTCGTTATAGAGGTTGCAAAGGCAGGAAAGCTCAGTAGCCACGGCTTGTCTGATAGGGTTACAGCAGTCGTCTCCAGGTTGGGCCGTGGCGTTGTTAAGGTAAGGAGCACAAGGCACCAGCTGCTGCGCACAAGTTGCTTGCGCATCCGTAACGGTTGCCATTGTCCCCAAAATCACAAGAACCGCCACGATCAACATCTTAGCCATGGCGTTTGGAATTTCAGTTCGTTTCTGTGTTTTTTCCCCTAACCTGACTGCTATGTCTTTGCTTAAATAATGACCTTTGGGGCAGGAGGGAGTGGTTAAGAGTAAGGACAGGTCATAGGTTCAGAAAGGACAAAGCAGAAGGTTGAAATAGAAACGCGCTCTCATTGAGCGTTGACTCACGCTCGATAATTTGCGGAATAGTATTGTTTTTCTAGAGGATAGTTCGATATTGATTTGAGGGGAAAATTTTCTTCTCAGTTATAAGTTAATAATTTGTTAGACTTTAGAATTTTTCTTAATTACTATTGAAATAAGTCAACAATATTTTCTAATGTGATAATGATAATTTAAATTGTAATTATTAATTATAATGTTAGTATCTTTCTCTTATTATTATCCAAATAATAATATAACTACAACCAAAGTTATAATCCACTCATATCATCTTAAATTGTTCATATAGATGAAAAAAAACAGAATTATTAGATAAAAAACAGAGAGTATTTCTTTTATTTACAATTCAAACCTCAAGTTAAAAATTAAAATAAAGAATATTAAAATGAGAGAATAATAAAAAATTAAAATAAGATAAAATCTAAAATGATAATATCTGAATATTCATATTTATAGATAAAAAGCAAGAAACTAATGAGGAATAATAGTGACGTGATTAAATTGATATAACATTAAATATGTCAAATCAATTTAACATATCAAATTAATTTAAATATCTAAAATACTTCTGATTATTTGTTGATAGTTTTTTATAGAGTAAAAGGATCGAAATGTTTTTTTGACCACTAAATGCTCATAATAATATTTTTTTACAAATTAAATTGTAATTTAGGATAGAAAAATGAGTTATAAAAAAATAAATGTTAAATGTTAAAATTTAAATTTTAAAATTTAAAATTTTTTAATATCATATTTTAAAATAATTATATAAATCAACTGAATTAATTTTTAAATTTAATTATGTAATTTTTTTTATGCTAATGAATTTGAACAATACAAATTTTAAGTCATTTTGCTCGTCAAATGTAATAACACTATAACAACATAACTTAATTTGTTGTCCACCTTAGCTAGATCTAAATAAAAACATTCCTAGTAATAATAAAATAAAAAAATAACATTTCACTACTTTTTTATGTATATAATTAAATTGGATCACATGCAGGGATGGTAGCGAAACAAATACAACTCAATTTGATAATTCCAGAAATAATCAAATTATTGATATTATGAAATTTGTGAAAGACTCAAATTATATGGTAGAGCTTTTTAAATTCAATCCCATCAGATAAGGAGAAAAAAAAATGATAATGGACTAATTGTTAGTAGTACTATCATTTATGCATCATTAATTATTCTTTGAAAACAATAGTAATAATAATCCATATCTTCTATTTTTTATGATACACGTGTCCTTTGAATAGGTCAGAGCTGACATTGTTTATAACTTTTTTATGGCAATTGGTTGGATTCCATAGAACAGGCTAGCCTCGCTGGCCTCCCCTCTTTTTTTTTTTATTTGTAAAAAATGAAAAAAAAAAAGAAATAAGGTGTACGTGTTGGAGACTTCCCCTGAAACAGAGCGTGCCTATAAATATCTAATTTGGTGCATTTTTTTTTTATTTTCCTAACAAATGCTTTTTTTTTTTAAGTGACAGAACCTAAGAAAAGAGAAAAGAAACTAAAATTAAACTGCAATTTTATGTTTTTTTAAGGCGTTTTTGG